TCCATAGCGTTTTTTCCCCGATACAGAAATGTCTGTCAATTTTTGCGGAAGGACATCTGTGCACACAAAAACCAATCGTCTGGCCCTACGAAACCCACACACACATCGCATTTAAAACAATATACTAACAGTTTCACACACAATCTCTCAGTGACAGCGACAACTCGGATTAATCGCTCGACCGATCCGCATATCGTTGCTCTATGTCATAAATAGTATAAATATCCGTGGCTTCAGGGTGGCCTAATGGTCACCCTGATCACAGTAGGTTAACTACTGTCACTAATATCACTTGATATGTGCTTTCGTATTTTTGACAAATTTAACAGACATTATAGTTATTAACGTACTGTGGTTGAATTTAAATTTGAGTATTTGACAAAGTTAATAGGAGTTATATCAGACATTTTAATCATTATTCGCACTTTGCTATACTTACACAGCAAACAATCGGCCACACCTAGTTTAGCCATGAATAAATTGAATACACCCGAGTTGCAGCCGGCTAAACCAAGTTGTAACCGCACTTCGGTGTCTAGCTAATTTGGTGTAATTAGCTTCCCTTGGTAATTAATTAAAATGCACGTTAGAATACATCGTCCTTACTTTTAAGTACATGCCTCAGTTTGTCTTTTTATAAGTACATCATAGAAATGCTATTAGCAATTATTACATGTCATAGCAGTTAGCAGTTCCTAGTATTTTTGGCGAAATGTATTAACCGTTTAAATTAAATGTTCGTTACAATTCTTAAGTCTCCCAATCAGATACAAATTTATTAAATAATGAAAATATAAGATTTATTTTTAATACTGTAAATAGATTCATTAACGGCCAGTTTTATTGTTTTTTATTTTTATTTAGAACTCATGTTTAGTACTGCCATATATCGAACACGCGTCTTTAAAATTACTAACATTAAAACTTGCGAAATAATCATCGTGAATGAATCTAACGATATTTTCTATGGGGCAAAGGTACGTGGTATATATTTTCATATCGTCTATAGGGTCAACGACTTTCATAACAACATTTTGCTTACTTCTACAAAAACTTAAATTTTTTGTCACATCCTCCCCATTATATACGACGCGAAAATAAAAATCCTGCGCTATTGCTTTCCTTTTGGTGAATTTGAATTCATCACGCAAATCCTTCCTTCTATACATCTCAAAGATCATTCTAGAAGCATACGGTATATTGTAATGTTGATAACTATTCAAACCTAACGCGAGTATTAATGCTTGAAGGGTTTTATCGTGTCCCGAATATAGAACATATTTCGGTTTATTTTCTGATATCATCCGTATCATATTTTGTACTATGTTGTGTATGAGACCGTACGCCAGAAGAAGGCCTCTTCTCCTGTTATGCAAATTCTTCACCTCCTGCTTATAACTCCACTCTAAATATGAGAATAGGGACATAACATGTTCCTTCTGGATGCAGAAGTCTTCCGTATTCTCTGGCGTCGGTTCTCTGTAGTCTTCGTCGAAGTCTGTATCCATTCTGGCATCATTGGGAAAATTAAAATCTGCATCCAGATTCTTCTTCACGATTACTACGTCTTCATAACCTTCAGCATTATCTAGATACCTTTGTTGGTAATAAAGTAGTTTCTCTCTTTCCATCTGCGCGTCGAAGTCTAACGGTACCTTCTTATCTCTACTATCGTAGTATTTCCCAATTATATCTCTAGCTTTTCTTCCTATTTCATTATTAAGATCTAATTGATTGTTTATATAGTCTAATTCCAGATTTAGTGTGTCAATATCTACGTCAAGAAGATTTCTCGAAGCCAAACTATTTCCATTTCCATGGTACTTCCTTTGTCTTTTACGCAGTGATAATCTATCTTTAGTGGGTGTTTTCTTTGATTTCTCTATGCATGGAAGAGGTGCTTCGTGACAAATGTAAGCTAACAACGCATCTCTTACAACATCTGCATCGATATGTTCCTGAGATTCAAATAACACTTTGGACAACTTTACTATCAAATCTTTGATAGCGGGATGAGATTCCAGACGATTTTTCAACTGAGAGTTGATTTTTCTGTTGAATAACAAAATATCAGTTGTAACAGCAAAAATAATAATTAGCAATTATAATTTAAAAGTAAAGGATTATATTTTCTGACTATTCAAAAGGTAATTAGCATTTAAAGTCAATGTGAGAGGGAGGCATCTTAGTCCTCAGGAGTAACAACGCATCTGCTTTTTGATTCTTATGTATGTGTAAATGTCAATGGGCCTCAGCATTCCTTACCAGCAGGTGGGCTGTGGGCTCGTTTATCACCCTTATTCTATAAAGAAAATTTCCCAAACACTTTGAATGTGACGCATCAGCATATTATGAAGAATCTATTTAATAAAATACAGATCCGATAAGTGTGTAAGACCTTAATCTGGAGTTTTGGTGGGAACTTTAGTGCCGGCGGATTGTTGCTCCTGTATTATCGTTTATGTAATAGTTTAAAGTTGATTTTGATACGCAAAAGAGGTGCAATTTTGTGTTTTAAAGACGACGAAACAAGTATTTTGTCCGCTCAAGGTGCGACTCTCCGTTGGGCTAAGATGTCGTCAAAATCTCCTAAGTATGTTAAACTCTTAATATGACGCACCGGCATATTGTAAAGAAAATTTTCAAACAATTATATTATTATTACTTGACACTGGTAAAAGTACAACCGTACGAGTCCGTAACCAAAGAAGAAGAAGATAGGGGCACCTGTGCAGCGCGTGGAGCGCGGCGCAGGCGCAGTCGCGGAAGCAGAAGGCGACGCTGTGCGCCTCGCGCGCGCGCGCCGCGGCCCGCGCGCCGCCCCACGCCAGCGCCTGCAGCGACTGGAACGTGCGCCGGTACCGCGTGCTGTACGCCACGCCTGCGCACACCGCGTGTTATAAACACGACTACACATTATGGCGGCTCTTCACCTTGGCGAACAGTGGCGAATGTGTTGGCCAATACCGATGGCCATCGTGTAGAGCGGGTGTTTGTGCTTACGTTGGTATGTATTGGAACGATGGCCCACAAGTTGGCGCGAGATCCGTGTGGTGTCGGTTTTTTACAAAAGATTATAAGGTTGTGACAGAGTATTGGCCGCCGCGTCCACACGTTGGGCGCACATTTAGTTTGCTACGAGCTCCCAAAATGATCGCACGCACCTGAATTAAATTTTATATTCACGCATCGTAACTAGTGTATAAAAAATGGCAGTAATAATGATCAATGAAGAAACTTTTCGCTTTATAGAGCTCTACTAAGCGGAAAATTGTTTGCGGAACACAAGAAATAAAATTTCTTTTTTTCCATTTCTTTTTGATCACCCTTTTCTTATACACATTCACGTAGTACCGATATGCTGTGAATAAATAAACCGTAGCAGCCGCTAACGCCGCAATATTCATTTTAACAAATTCGCATGCACATTGGCCTAAACCGAAGCAAACTGAACGACCTTCCAACGTGTAGACGCCATCACAAACTCTTGGCTAATATCTTTGCTAACACATTCGCCACTATGTTGGCCAACATAAAAAGCCGCCTTAAAACATGTCATTCATTCATTTCTAGTGACCCAATCATTCACAAACCAATGTTGAGACAGCTAGATTAGTTTATTTTAGTCACTTTCTTAACGTGATGTCTTATAGAATTTTGCTATGGGATAAGGGATAATGCGACTGACATCGAAGCCATTAATATTTTGCAAAAAAGAGCCGTACGGGCGACTTATAACTTAAATTGTAATGAGTCCCTTAGAATAAAATTTAAAGAATTTAACATGTTAACTTTGGCATCGCAATATATTTATGAAAATGTAATGTATATACATAAAAACATAAAAAGCTTTGATAAGAATAAAGATATTCATACTTTAAATACTAGAAACAACCATACGCTTGTAACGCCAGTTACTAGACTCCACAGAATTAGTAATTCATTTATGGAGCAATGTATACGCTTTTACAACAAAATCCCAGAAAATGTACAAAATCTATCAATAAACAAATTTAAATGCTTTGTTAAGAAAAATTATACGTAGTACCATGCTGCAGCTTCATTATGGTTGTAGCACGAATGGGTCGGCTCGACCGGGGTAGGACTACGCTCTCACAGAATACCAGCGTAAAATAGCAGCTTAACACTGCTGTTTTTCGTATGGTGATTGTAGAGAACCGGAAACCCTTTTTACTGGAAACGAGGCATTTCATCGTAGTCCTCAGGAATGACAACGTACCTGCGTTTTGATTATTAATCGAGGATAAATATAGATTTCTATGGGATACAGCATCCACTTCCCATCAGGTGGAAGAATACATAAATAAAAAAAGACCTTGGGAATGAGGTGATCGCCACCATGTTGGTTCTATTACAATTCATTTAAAATTTGTACGAACAAAATTATTGTAAAGTGAAATATGTTTAAAATAAGTCCGGCGGAGTTTCTTGCTGATTCTTCCCAGGTCAGAGGTATTTTCCAAACCAGTGGTAAATAAAAAAATTACTTTCAATAAGTATTATGTAATAATCTACAGCAGCCTCTACGGCAGCCTCGTACCGGTAGGCGAAGTGTAGGTGTAGGTTGTGGCATTCCTTGGGGGAGGCCTATGTTCAGCAGAGGACTTATCAAAGGGAAAGGCTGTAATGATGATGATAATGATGATGAATAATCTACATTGAATAAAAATTGTTCTATTCTATTCAAGTATTGATTCGTCTTACGAACCACGTTATTCTGGTCATTTCGAGTTTCAGTACTCTGTAATCTGTGAGACTCGCTCGATAATGTCGGTCGTCGAACTTTACCAGAGATTTAAATATATAGGTATTGTTACGGCTTGAATGTTTCACAATGTGTTTCGTAGGGTGGTTTTGGGAACCAGAGAACAACCAGACCAAGGGCTGGCTAACCCGATGATCCCAATCAGGAAGTAAATGAAAATAGCTTTAGAACTGGGTAGATAAGGCAAGGATACTCACAAGATTGGAGCACTCCCCGTGGTTATGGTGAAGTCTTAATATTTAGGCTGGAGTTCTCGTGTATACACAGACACCACACTGCACTTCGAATGTATATGGACACGAGCAATTGCACGATAGTCTTACAACTTATTTATTGAGTATTTTTAAACGAGCAGTAACGAACACGTTTTTATGCGTGCGCGGCCATCTTGCTTCTTTTTTTTCTTGACGATAGGTGACGCACCATTTTGTGTAGTGCGTATATGGGGGAGGCGGGAGGATAGGAAATACTTAGGAAAAGGATATTATATCGGGACTGTTCCGAAGCCACAACATTCCCTCCCACCTGAAATCACCTAGGGATTTCACAAGACAACCATCGACCCGGCAGCTCTCCAGGTCCCCAGTTGCTCATAGAATATAAATTAATATAAACCAAATAGATATCTGAGCTAAGTTGTGCATTGATAACCTTAACTAAACTACAAAACAAAATCAAACTTAGTTAATTTAATTGTAAAATTAGAACTTACAATCTAGCTTAATAAAACAATAAAAATAAGATTCAATCAAGAGGAAGAGGGCAGGCTTTAACTACTGGTCTTGTAAGTAAGCCTCTTTTAGTCTTTAAGGTCACAACCCGGATAATATTGTCCTTTCCGGGATGGATTTGGACTACTCGACCTAGGCGCCATTCGTTAGGTGGTAGATTAGGTTCAATGATTGAAACGAGTTGACCAATATTAGGATGTTTGTGATCATCCTTAAACCACTTAACTTTTTGTTGGAGCGTATATAAATAATCATTTTGCCAAATACGCCAAAAACTTTGAGAGAGCCTTTGAAGTAACTGCCAGCGTGTTCTAGGATTCATATCTTCAACAGACGGTTCTGGTAGAGCGACTAAAGGACGTCCTATAATAAAATGACCAGCCGTGAGAACATCAACTTCGCCAAGATCAGACGATAACTGACAAATCGGTCTTGAGTTCAGCATCGCTTCAACTTTAGTTAAAACCGTAGTTAGTTCTTCAAACGTCAGGACTTGTGAGCCTATGACCCTCTTGAGATAATATTTAGTACATTTTATACCACTTTCAAAAATGCCTCCAAAGTGAGGTGCTGATGGTGGATTTAGTTTCCAAGAGATTCCACAAGACGTTAATTGATCAGAAATATCCTGTTTTTTATCTATCAATAATTTAACCATTTCCTCAAGATATCGTTTAGCGCCTACAAAGTTAGTGCCACAATCTGTCACAATATGTTGACATATTCCACGTCGAGACACGAATCTGTCTAGGGCGGCTAGAAACGCTTCTGTAGACAGTTCAGATACGAGTTCTAAATGAACTGCTTTTACAGATAAGCAAATGAACAAGCATATGTAAGCCTTACTGACCCGTGCGTTACGTCATCTGTTTTCTTTTATAAGAAAAGGACCGCCAAAGTCGATCCCTACCTGTTGAAAACAGTAACCTTGTTGAGATCTACAAGGTGGCAGGTTGCCCATAGATGGCTGATAGGGTACAGGTTTAACCCGAAAGCAAGTCACACACTTTGTTAAAATAGAACGAATAAGATTTCTAATTCCTAAAATCCAGAACTTGCGAACAATTAGAGTTTGTAACGTGCGAGGTCCACAGTGCAAATACCGTTTATGATAATAGCTAATAATTAATTGAGATAAAATAGATTGTTTCGGTAACAAATATGGATGTTTTGTGTGTTCAGGTAAATTGAAATTAGTAATTCGTCCACCCACTCGCATGAGTCCTAGGTTATCAATAAACGGAGACAACTTTTGTAAGTATTTAGGTAGAGGCTTCTGCGATTTTAATTGAGACATCTCTTGATTGAAGCTGCCCCATTGGACATATTTAATAAGGCTAAGCAGAGAGCACTTTACCTCATTCGTAGTCAAGTGACCTTTCTCGCGTTGGCTTTATTCTTTGCGCGAATTAGAAATGAAGCGAAAGACCCATGCCAATACTCGTTTTAGTCGCGATAAGGATGAATACCGATTTAATAACACCTTCATAAATTTTTATCAGATTCCCGAGATTGAGCAATCAGAGTGCGTGTTCTCAACTCTGGCAACTCATCTTGGGGCTCACACCGACTTTGAGCTGGCCAGTGATCTGGACCACTAAGCATCCAATCTGGTCCTGACCACCATCGCGTACAATTGACCAATTCTGCACACGAGAGACCTCGGCTAGGAAAGTCAGCAGGATTGTCCTGAGTCGAGACATGCCTCCAGGTAGAAGGTTCAAATGCGTTAGTTATTTTAACTACTCGATGCGCAACAAAAGGTTTCAGTTTGTAGGGCTCGGTATTGATCCAAGCTAATACAGTTTAGCTATCAGTGTAGGCAACAATATGAGATATATTTATTTTCGAAATAAGTAAAGTTTGCATGTGTTTGAGAGTACGTGATAACAAGAGCGCACCGCACAACTCCAAACGATTAACTGTTAGAGGCTTAATCGGAGCCACTTTAGATTTAGAAATCAAAAGAGAAACTTGTTTTTGATCATCGATACTTGATCGAAGATAGACACAGCACCCATATGCTTTGGTTGATCCATCGCATAACCCAATCAACTGGTGTGTAGCTGCTAAGTCAATCACGGTTTTACGAGGGATTTTTATCGATTTTATATTAGACAAGTCAGACACAAATGAAACCCAATCGTCACACAGATTGGTGGGAATGATTTCATCCCAAGACAATCCAATACGCCATAAGTTTTGAAGAAGTAGTTTGGCTAAAAGAATAAAAGGTGAAAGCCAACCCAACGGATCATAAATACGAGCTACGTGGGACATGATTGAACGTTTCGTAAACTCCACATTCACAGGAGAGACGGAGTAAGTGAAATAGTCTTCCTCAGGATCCCATTGAACTCACAAAACCTTAAGCTTTATTGAACTATCATCAGAAAATGTCTTCGGACACTGACAATGTTCCATGAGTAACGATCGAAGAAATAAAGGACTGTTACTGCTCCACTTACGCAAATCTAGCTGAGCACAATTAAGGAGATTGATTAAATCTTCTTTAAGCTGAGAGGCTGCTTCGACTGAGGAAGCACCTGTAGTAATATCGTCCATATAAGTATGATGCCGAAGAGCTTCAGCAGCATGAGGAAACTGATCACCGTGATCTGTAGCTAATTGATGTAATGTTCGTATCGCTAAGTACGGCGAGCTTTTGACTCCGTATGTGACCGTACGAAGTTCAAATTCTTGAACAGGCAAGGAAGGGGATTCACGCCATAGTACGTGTTGCCACACTAGATCCTCAGGCCTTATCAAGATTTGCCTGTACATCTTAGATATGTCACATGTAAACACTATATTATGGACCCGAAATCCAGTAATAATGTCAACCAAATCAGCCTGTAACTTCGGTCCAGTGTAAACAATATCATTTAAAGATAGTCCATTTGTCGTCTTGTGACTCGCATTGAATACAACGCGAAGTTTGGTCGTTATGCTTTCTGGACGAATCATACAATGGCAAAGAATGAAATATCTACCAGGTGTAGTATTCTTTCCCACTGGTTGCATATGGTTAAGCTGCTCATAATCACGCATAAAATCGTTATAGAGTGATTTAAGTTCTGGTTGTCGGCAAAGTTTTTTCTCGAGATTTATAAACTGCGACAAAGAACTATTATATGAGCCTCCCATATAGACAGACGACTGCTTCAATAAGATAGGAACTACATATCGACCGTCCGATTCCCGATAAGTTTGAGTGGAATACGGGCGTTCGACCTCCTCATCTTCTGGAGCAGGTATATGTTGATGAGGCGGTTCCTCAACTTCCCAAAATCGTTTCATCATCTTCTCCAATGAGTTGGTTGAAGTAATTAACGAAGTGCCAACCGATTTTACCGGACTCTCCACATTGGTGGGTCCTGAGAGCACCCAACCAAAGACGCTATGTAAAGCAGCAGGATAGCCGGGCTCTGGGTGAATGACACGGCCGTCATAGATGTGATGAAATACTTCCGCACCTAGCAATAAATCAACATCAGACGGTTTGTCAAAATCACGGTCTGCTAATACTAAGTGTTTGTAACAGTCTCGAACCGCTAGAGGAATATCAGTGGTTGGCATTTTAGAAGTAATGCTATCGATGACTATAGGATTAATATCAAATTGCGGGCCATTCGAATCACACGGGCGTATAGAGCATTGAGTCACTCCCTTGACTTGACACACAGACTGTTGTCCAAGTCCAGCCACAGTTGTGGTAGGTACATCGACGCAATTGAAAACCAAGTCTCTTTGCGCATTTCATAGTGATGAAGCAGTCCTGAGCGCCGCTATCGATCAGCGCTCTAACTTGATGGAACGTGCCACTAGAGTCCTGCACACGCACCATACACGTCCCGAGCAGCACCACGCACGGGCCACGAGCCTTTCCCACGAACGCACTTGTGTTAGTGTGGGCGCTACTCGAACCGGTGGTCACAGTGGTCGGTGATCGAACTTGGTTGTCGATGTGTACCAGAGTGTGATGATTACCACTACATATAAAACTTCTCATTTTTGAGACGCATTTATCAAGAGAATGTTTTCGTAATCAGTTAATGCATAAATCATTTTGTTTGACAATATTTATTCTAGCACTGGTGTCCAAAGATTGAAAAGTGGGGCACCTATAGATACTGTGCGCTGCGCCACAATAATAGCACGCTAGTGAAGCCAGCTGCTTCGATCTAGTAGGCTTAGACTGAGTAGTGAGCACGGAACGTTTCAGGTTCGGTGCCCGCTGTGAAACATTCTTGATCTGTTTACCGCCTAAAAATTGAGAAGATCGCGCCCTAACGTCAACATTAGCATTTATTTCTAAAACTTTTACATAGTTTTGAAGAAACTGCATAAGACTTTGAAAAGAAGGAATTTCCGATTTATTTTCAGATTCGAAGCGGTGGCGCGTATCTGAGTCCAGTGCGCGAAACGCTGCGTTAAATAAAATAAAATCGCCTAAGTCATCTAGCTCTAAGGCCTTAAGGGCATTGACTGACTCACAAAGAATATTAGTATATGTTTGTAAATCATTGAAATTAGGAGTTTTTAAATAAGGATAGTTATTGATTTGATCTAAATACGCCACGGTTAAAATGCGCTTATTTTGATAACGCTTAATAAGTTCATTGAATACAAACTCATAATTATCGGAAGTTAATTTTACCTTCTTTGCGATCCCTAAGGCGGATCCCGATAAACAAGAAATGAGATAGTGAAATTTAGTAATATTCGCGATTGATTTATTATTATGAATTAAGGTTACGAAAGTGTCGTAAAATGTTTGCCAATTCTCAATTTTTCCGTCGAACTTCAGAAGCTCAATTTGTGGCAGTCTAGCTTGTATCTTTTCCGCGTCGGGCTTAAAGGTGTAGTTAACGTCAGCGGACGTTGGGCTGCTGCTTCGTTTGCGCTCCGGTAGGGACATCTCCGCGGCAAAACTTAGGACTTATCAAAACTTAGGATAGTACATATCATCAAATGCAGACAACGCTTGCATATCTATTTTTTCTTTAGGAAACAGTGTCAGTTTTAACGAATTAATTTTTTCCGTAAGCAACACATATTCATCACGAATGTTCTCAATTTTAAGAAATCTAGATTTAAATTGGCTAACTTTAGATGAACTGGAGTCTTCCCGTATTTGAGTGGATAAATCGAAAAGAGTTTGAATAGAACGAAAAACATACTCTCGCTGTGACGTATAAAGTTTAAGTTTCATTTCTTCTTGCGACATGATTATAAAATAACAGCGAAATATTAAATATGAATGTTAAGTATAATTATTACGACAGATATTTAAATCAATATTTAAGTTTGTCAAAACTAAATTAACATTCTAACACTGAATTTTATGTTAACGTTTTTTAACTGTTTGAATTAGATAACAATTAACAAACGACTTAACATTCAAAGATATACAAGTATTTATACTTAAGTGCTATTATTCCAAGAACAAATGAATCATTTCCATAAACTGATTTAGTAATTTTTTCCAACAATAATTATAAAATACCCTCAAATTATAATAATTTTCAAAGCGTAAGACTATCAATGCACATTCAAAATAAACTTAGCAATTATAACGCAACCAAATAAGATAAGTCTACAAAGTCTGAGCAATACGAAACACTTCACGAACATTCAAGTCTAGCAGGATTATAATTGAAATGAATTAGTTACTTTCAATTATAAGAAAAATAGATTAAATATCAAAGTTTTCCTTAGAAATTGAACTTGATATTATATTAATAAGGAGCAGACTGTATAAAAATAGAAATCCATAGGTATCCGGCTCGAAGGACCAGAAATTATGTTACGGCTTGAATGTTTCACAATGTGTTTCGTAGGGTGGTGAATGAATAATCTACATTGAATAAAAATTGTTCTATTCTATTCAAGTATTGATTCGTCTTACGAACCACGTTATTCTGGTCATTTCGAGTTTCAGTACTCTGTAATCTGTGAGACTCGCTCGATAATGTCGGTCGTCGAACTTTACCAGAGATTTAAATATATAGGTATTGTTACGGCTTGAATGTTTCACAATGTGTTTCGTAGGGTGGTTTTGGGAACCAGAGAACAACCAGACCAAGGGCTGGCTAACCCGATGATCCCAATCAGGAAGTAAATGAAAATAGCTTTAGAACTGGGTAGATAAGGCAAGGATACTCACAAGATTGGAGCACTCCCCGTGGTTATGGTGAAGTCTTAATATTTAGGCTGGAGTTCTCGTGTATACACAGACACCACACTGCACTTCGAATGTATATGGACACGAGCAATTGCACGATAGTCTTACAACTTATTTATTGAGTATTTTTAAACGAGCAGTAACGAACACGTTTTTATGCGTGCGCGGCCATCTTGCTTCTTTTTTTTCTTGACGAGACGCGTGGTGGCGTACCATTTTGAGTAGTGCGTATATGGGGGAGGCGGGAGGATAGGAAATACTTAGGAAAAGGATATTAAATCGGGACTGTTCCGAAGCCACAACAGGTATAGTATAGAGCGGACATAGGGAACATTTGCATATAAAAACTTTGAGCACGCGCGTGTGTGTCGCTCTAGCTAAAGATAGCAAAACTACGCTGTTTATTAGGAAAAGATTTCAGCTATACCATCTGTCCCAAGGAGGTGTCGTATTTATCGTCCACAAGTCTCTCGTTAACAACGTTGAAAGTTGAAGTTGAAAGTTTAAAGATTGAGAGTGTGTCGAAGAGGGTTGCGTACCTTATACTCAGAATCACCAGACGGTATTCTCTGAAGGTCATACAGGTTTACGCACCAACTTCGGCACACCCCGATGAGGAGGTGGAGGAAATGTATGAGGACATCTCTAGAGCCATGCATTCCTCCAAAACCCAATATACGGTGTTAATGGGAGACTTCAATGCAAAACTAGGCACAAGAGAGAACGGTGAGCTGAAAGTAGGGAAATTTGGAATAGGGCAACGGAACCCAAGGGGCCAGCAGCTGGCCGACTTCATGGAGAAAGAGGGACTCTTTATGATGAACTCTTTCTTCCAGAAGCGGCCCCGGAAGTGGACCTGGTCGAGCCCCGACGGTTCGACAAAAAATGAGATTGACTTCATTATGACGACCAGACGACAACTGTTCAGTGACGTCTCCTTGATCGCGAGGGTGAAAACTGGTAGCGATCACCGAATGGTTAGAGGTACATTGAAATTAAACGTTAAATTGGAAAGGTCTCGTCTAATGAAGTCAACGCTTCGTCCTCTCGTGCTCTATTCCAAAGTCCCGAAACCTTTCAGCTCGAGTTACAAAACCGTTATCAGTGCCTAGAAGACTGCAA